TCAGGTTCTGTTTCCACAACTCATTCACAGGAAAACTGTTGGGCACCATTCAGATCACCCCTCTGCATTCATTGACAGGGATCTGTTCATTTTCTTCAATTATACAGTGAAGAACTCATGCTTTTAAAAGACTCAGTAATGTCTTCCAAGCTTTTCATTCACACTGTTTCTCTTTGTTTCCTATATTGCAGTTTCTCAGTTACTAATATTATTTTTAAGTACAAGTACTGCCTCATGTATTAGAACCTCATGAAAGATTTCTCTGAATGTATATTTGACTCCAACTCTCAACTCCAATAGATTACATTTTATGTTTTCTTCGAAAGAGCCACCAGACCCACTCTCTACTCTGTCTTTGTTGCACATGGTTTATTAATTAGTCTTCACTATTCAATAGTGTATCCTTTTTATCATATCATATTAATATCAACTAGATAAGCAGCAGCATTTATACATTAAGAGGGAGAATATTGTATCATAAAATGTTTATTCTCAACACTTATCATGTATGTAATAAGTAAAAGTTGCATAGAAATAATAATAATAAAAAAGACATATTTTAAAAAATCATAAACTTCTGCAAAATCGCTTCTGGTTGCTCAGCATTTGAATTTGAGATTTTAAATGCCTATTTTCCATCTAAATGCTTTGGAGACAACAGTGTGTCCTATAAAGGACTCAACAATCCATACCTAACCAAGCCAAGAGCAATTTAAAGCAGTAGTCCATAGAAATGTCCCTTTATTGTCCTTTGCCTCCCAGAGCAATTTTATTCTTATTGCTCTGCAGCCCCAATAGGTATCACACAGGGATTTACTAGAGTGTCCACTGAGATGGTAGGTAACCCTTAACAACTGTAGAGGGTTCTGCTGATCCAGGAAGTTTAAGAACTATGGCTTTAGAAAATGAGATAAGTCTGACATACATGAAGCCCAGTATATAAGAGTGTACACCTTACAGCAAAAGATAATAACTAACTACAAGACCTTAGAGCAGTAACACACCTCTATTGAGTTCCCTTTTTCACCCTTTGTAAAAACAAATCAGGATATAGCTAACAATCAAGGTAGTTGAACAGATTATTGGCAGTATCTGTACCTATGAATTCCATGTAGCAAATGTTCAATAAATGCTCACCTTTGTATGGTCCAGTAATTTAGCTCCTTCCTTTAGTTCAGTGATGTAGTACATCTTTAATCCCCTCCTCAGTACATTTTGCCACCTTTCTATTACTCTTTCTGACATGACCCTAAAGAGCTTTTAAATTGAACTATGCACTTATGTTTCTTGTTGAACAGTTATTCCTTAAAACATCCACAGATAGCCTCAGAGTCTTACAGAATAATCACAGTGATCATATTAATTGCCTCCATAACATGCAACTCATTACTGCTGCTCCTTTGAACAGGACATTCATTTTCTCCCATGACTAACAGCAGAAATGACTCATTTAGTAGAGCTGACAATTTTGCTCACATCTCCTCACTAATCTTGGATCTATCTGGCTGCTTTTGAGGTATAATGCTTTGGTGTTAAATCCTTGTTCTGCCACTTATTAGCTTAGTGAGACTGGTTACAATATATAAACATTACTTATTTATCCAATGAACACAATTATAGATAGCTCCTAGAACCAATGGAACAGTTAACATCCTTTTGTATGCTTATGCAAGTGTTGCAAGTAAAAATGATATCTCTCCTCATACTACACTACACTGTGTTAAGACCCCTCTGAAATTTATTACCAAGGAAGACTTCTTATGCATGGGGAGGAGAATATGGCAAGTTCTATGCTCAACTGAGTGTCTGTTCTTCATGGAGTTCCCAGAAAGCTTCAGTTTAGTATTCTCAGGTGTCTCTATTTGTGATTACTACAGCAAGTGTATCAACAAGAAGGGGAGTTGTCAACTAACTCTTCTAGACTTTTCTATTGTGGGACAGGGGTAATTTATAAGAATAGTTTATGGCATCCCTCATTTCTCACAGAGTACATAGTTTCTTCATTCCCAGGGAAGATATAATAGAAAACACCTCACTAAGCCACCACATTCCTCAAAGACACATGTCTCTTTTTTGTTGCTATATTACATGCAATCATATAACACATCATAATGTTTGTCAGTGATGAGCTGTATACATTATATCATACACAATATATATTATATTATATTGTATTATACATATAGGTAAGATTCACAGGTAGCTATAATATTCCAGCTTGTATAAATTCAGCCTATAGTATTCTTGTGCTGTCAAAGTTATGTAAAGATGCAATTGTCAGATCATATCCCATTAGGTAAAGCAAGACAACACTTGAGTCGGGATGGGGGTAGATCGAGTACAGTAGCCTCTTTATGGGAATGTAGATGCAGAAAGTTGACTTGCTCAAATAGCCATAGGAGACTGAGTCATATTTTGTATGTAACTGTAAAAATTAGGCTAGTACAAGCATGCCCTTCTTACTGTGGTCCTTAATCATAGATAATGACTGGCCTCATTGGAGCATTGTAAAATATTAAGGAGTATATTTGTCTACTTTCCTGCTAAGGCATCAAAAGCCATATAGTACTATAACAAAAGATTCTAAATATTCTGAAATGTGTAGACCAGTAACATAAATGAAGAGTTGCTATTATCAACTTGAAAATACAATATTGCATTGAAAAGAAACACATTGGACATCAAAGTTTAATTAACTAATGATCTACTTAATGTTAAGAGATAAATGTACAAACTTTATTTCATTTACACTTAATTATTGATGATAATGTCCATATTTCATTTGTCTTTACTAAGATATTATTGAAAGATGTAATCAAATACACATAGATCAATTCAGATTGTCTACTATTACTTTATTAGTTATGTAAAAAAGCAATCACTTTATAAATTTCTAAAGAGGGTCTTTGATGGGTTCCTTTAGTTTCTTTCAAAAGGTGTTACATTTTATCATTTGTTTCAGAAATGTAGGTTGTATATATCATAGGCTAGCCTTAAACTCACAATGAGGTCAGGGATGCCCTTGAACCTTTAACCTTCCTTCCTCTAACTCCCTAATGCCAGGGTTACATGTATTTGTCACTATACCAGATTTCATACATTGTTGAAATTGTAATTCATTGTTTTGTGCAAGCTAGGCAAGCATTCTACCAAATGAGCTACATTCCTAGTGCTTTCTTTCTTTTGGTTTAGAATGATCCATGGATAGGTATAGATAGAAAAGTATGTGTTGCTGAAGATACAATTTTATTCAGATATTGAACATTTCATTTTTATGTATGCATTCATATATGTATGTTCATATACATATACATATATATGTATATAAATTGATTGCTTTGTATCTGAGAAATGCTATTTTGTGTTAGTACCAGGTTTTCCTTTCTTTGTATTATATCCTCTAATTTCTCATAGTCTTTGACAGTACTTTATTTTTGTTTCATTTTGCTTTGGATTACTGAGACATGGTTTCTCTGTGTCACAGTGTTAGATGTACTGGAACTGGCTCTGCAGACCAGGCTGGCCTTGAACTCATAGAGATCCACCTACCTCTGCCTCCCAAGTGCTGGGATTAAATTGTGCACCACCACCACATGACTGATAGTACATTTCTTATTCACAAACCTATGCCATTGTGGTCATGCTGGAAGCCAAAATATTAGATGGAAGAGGATGCAATTTTTTCTCATTTCCTCTTGAAAATACCAGCACATTGATATCAATATTGTTAAGAAGGATGAGAGTTTAGATTTGTCACTAACATAGGAAAGAAAAAACAAGTAGCTGCCAAAGGAAGAGATCAACATAGACAGTTGTAAGATATATATTCTCACACTGTCCAAAAGAAGAAAATTGCCTCTGTAGGGGAGTTCTGATGCTTGACTTGTAGTCAAAATACTAAATAAATGCTTAAATATGTCCTGAAGTCATTGCCATTTTCATGTACTTGACTTTTTTTCTCCTGCTGGATCCATATAAATGTTTACAGTGTAATTATAGTCTGCTCATAGATCTTGTTGGCCCAATTCTTAGAGGAGAGCATGGAGGAGGAATTTTGCTTCATGTGGACAGTCACATATATAGTCATTTGAATGTGTGTAGGTAGACTTCAACACATGTAGACATTAACATATATAATTTCCTAAATGTATGAAGCTTGACCTTTATTACATGTAGACAATTACATATACAATTATTTGAATTTATACAGTTCTGTAACTTGAGCATCTTAAAGATGATTTAGACTTGCATGGTCCTCTAAAGATCAGGTCCATCAGTGAAATAGCTGTGATTGCTTAGTTTATTATAACTTGTAAATCTTGGATAGTTTGTTTTATTTGTTTGTTTTTATTGTTTTTGTTTCTTACTATTAAAAATAGCAAAAAGAGTTCTCTTACTTTTAATCAGCTACCTGTGGGATAATTTTTCAGTACAGGGATGTCTTCAGTCAGCAGAGACAATGAAAATAAAAAGAAGAATCTAGGAACTGTCCTAATATTTGACTGTTCCATCAGAGCTGTGTAGGAATCCTTCTGTGAACCATAGAAATAATAAACGCTGTGCCCATTGGAACATAATCTCAATCAGCAAGATGCCACTGCTTTCCAGATTTCCTCACAGGCTCTGATAATTCCATGCCAAAACTAGCCATGAATTTTTTCCTTTAATCTCCCCTAATGCCTTAGTCAATTATTGTCATTGTTCTGACTCTCCATTTCTCAAGTGAACCAGTCAGAGGAGGCTGGATATCTACAAGACTCAATTTAAGACCACAAACAGCCCCATTCCATCGGAAAAGACAAAAGTAAGACAAAAGGGAAAAAGAAACCCAAAACAATTTCCTGGCAACCCCTCCATCTATTGGATTGCTCACTGGACACAGACTGGGATGAGGGATATGAGGGCTTTGGAAGATTTCTCCAGTTGACTGTCACAGGAGAGCAGGCGGAGAGAAGAGAGAAGCAGGAGGAGGGTGACCTGGCATCTCAGTGACCCATAGGATGGTGGTGCTTCTCCAGTGGCTGTCCATTATTCTGTGGTAAGACCTTTCTGATCCTCCTTTTGTCTTAGAGGAAATGGAGAGCATATATCTACTGGATGAATTTTTTATTGCACAATGAAAGGAAATAAGAGTGGTGTGGCTGTTATCCATGATGGGGTAAACTGGTAAACTAGCACCCATGAAACAATGTATTTTCTTTGAGGTCAGGTGTGAGAATTTTTGAATCTCAATCTTCAGGCTAGAAAATGCTCAAGCTCAACTTGAAGGTGAAGGCAATTTCTACTCTGAAAATGTCAGTCGGATTCTTGACAACTTGCTGGAAGGCTATGACAATCGTCTACGCCCAGGATTTGGAGGTAAGGCACTGCCTTAAGGTTGGACCAAATACTTGAAATTTCCCTCCACTTTTATAACCCTTCTAAGACCCAGAGGTATGGGTAGAGAGAGAGTTACCAAGACTTCATGTGTGTATTACTCATTCCTTCCTCAATCAGTGAGTTACCTTATGTAAGTTATTTAAACTCTATAAGCCTTACTGTCCTAAACGTACGTGTGTGTGTGAGTGTGTGTGTGTGTGTGTGTGTGTGTGTGTGTGTGTGTGTGTACATCATTGATTGAGTTGCTTGAGTACAGAAAGAAGTTTTCCATGTATGACACTTTCCTTGGTATTTGTGTTGAAAACTATCAATACACATGTTATTATCATTATTAGCAGTATTATTATTAGGGAACACTGATTTTGTTATCTTCTATCCATTAAGAGTTTCCTAGTGTGAATGGAAGGGCTTTAAAGTAATTATTGTAGGGTCTTATAATTTAAAAACTGGAGGTCATCTAGGGAAGGGTGGAAACATGCAGAGCTCGAATTTTCAATGGGAAGGGTTATGTGGAGTCACTAAGCTCTGGTCTCATCACACATGTTAATAGCCTCAACCTTCTTGGCTTATGTCAGGTGCTGTGACAGAAGTCAAAACTGACATCTATGTAACCAGCTTTGGGCCTGTGTCAGATGTGGAGATGGTGAGTACATTGCGTACTTTTATTTAGGAAGTAGAACTATAACTTAGGACTAATGAGTACGGGTATTGCCATTCATCGCAGCACAGAGTATGTATATTTCCCTTGGGAAGATATATAAACTAGAGCAAATGACTGACTCTGCTTAGACACTCAAAGACATCTTTTTTTGTGATGTCCTAGCAAATTTAAGAAATTGTTTTTAAAAGCTTCTTGCTATGTAAGAGGTAACTAATAAGTATGATGTCAAAGCATACCTGTTATTTTCTATGTATCATTGCTAGTGCATTTTATCCAAACAGTGAAGAAGACACTTGGATAGGTTCATGCTTTCTACCTTGTACATTGCGGATGCATCAGTGGGTGTTCTGGAGACTCTGTTCCAGGTACAGATGGCTGTAGAATTCGTAAGAGGGTATTTATGGAAAGTGGCAATGAAAGCCCGAAGTCATTTTTTCTGAACAAAGTGTATCATATGCCTTCCCAGTTTTCAGGTAGTATTTTTTTCTCACAAGGCTAAAATACAATAACCAAGGCAGAAACTGTCATAAATGTCTTCAAAGAAGGACAACATTAGCTTTTCTTGGGAAATTGTAATCTTGTAAAAATAGTTGCTGTTGACTTCTTCTCCTACTTTAGAATTGATATGAGAAGATAGAAACAGTAAAGATGGATAAAAAGTAAATGAAAGTGGAGCTAGAAGAACAAGACAAAAAGGAGGATGGAAAAAAGAAAGGGTGGGATAAACCAGGAGGGAAAACAGAAGAAAGAAACAGATGAGGGGTACAAAGTGGAGAAGAGTCTCATGGAAACATATATAACCACTAGGTTTTGAAGTATTCTAATCTGGGTTTATTTTCATTTCTTTCATGTATCTTTTTGAGTACTTTTGAATAATAGAATCCTTATGTTTCATGGTTTATAATTTTATAGATATACTCTATGTTGAAATTTGCTTTTAAAATTTAATCACCATTTATGGGAATAATTATAAAGTAGGCAAAACCTTTTAGCAATGCTTCAGCACAGGAGCAAGGTATTTCTCATTGGCTTCTGTGATAGTCTCGTAATTATCTTTAAAATTAACGTTATCCCATAAAGCCATGGTTTAAAATAGAAATTGTTATATTTACATTAGATAGTTTATTAGGTGTGTATTGTTGAAATTGTACTCTATGGAAGTATTGATCTCTGAACTTACTGTAAAGGTGAGTGAGATGTTAGGGTGAATGGCTGGAATAGCTGAAGGTGGGACATAAAACAGGATGCCTGAACAATAAATATTTTCTTATGTTTTCCTTTTAAGTTAAAGGAATTACAGAGAAAGATCATGGCTGAAAAGTTGGCAGGCTGGATACACATGGAGGAAAAATGTTGAGTAGGTTAAGTAAGGAGAAGGAGTTTGGCCCAGTCCATCTTTGTTTTAGAATATTACAAACCTTGTGATCTTGAGAAATATAAGGACTCAATCGAATCTGTTTATGATTAAAAATCATTTACTAATAATAATCAAATATCATTGATTCTAAAAAATCATTATTGATTACTTAATTATTAAGAAGTTATTGCTGTGCACTTCGCTTTCTTGATTAATCTTAACATTAGTTATAAATAATGAATAGACTATTTCACAAGACACTTTCCACCCTGTGTTACCAGCAGTTTTCCTGCCATGCTGGTCCCAGTGCTATATCAGCCCCAAACAACATACAGAGGCACTGTATTAGATATAAAGCTGTTGGCATGTTACTAGAGTTTCTCATTGGCTAATTCTATCTTAAATATTAACTCATTTCTATGAACCAAAATGTTTCCAAGTAGCCTTATCTTACAAAAGAGAGGGTCCGGACTTCCCTAAATTCCCTATATCTTGACCCTTTTCTACTACATCTCCCAGAATTCTCCTTGTCTTGTAGTCCTGCCTATCTTGCTTTCCTATTGGCCAACAGGGCTTTATTCATTAACCAATAAGAGAAACATATTTACAGAGTGACATCTATCAACTGTGTGAATGTTTTTTTTTCTTTTAGGAATACACAATGGATGTTTTCTTCCGCCAGACTTGGACTGATGAGAGGCTGAAATTTAGGGGTCCTGCCGAGATTCTGAGCTTAAATAACTTGATGGTCAGTAAAATCTGGACCCCTGACACTTTTTTCAGGAATGGGAAGAAGTCAATTGCTCACAACATGACCACGCCTAACAAGCTCTTCCGATTAATGCAGAATGGAACAATTCTGTACACTATGAGGTGAGTTGCCAATTTATTTCTGTTGCTTGAGGATGCATCCACCACAATAACCAGAAGTATGTGTTTCAATATCTCCAGGCTTACCATCAATGCCGATTGTCCCATGAGGCTGGTTAACTTCCCTATGGATGGACATGCTTGTCCACTTAAGTTTGGGAGCTGTAAGTTACACAAAGTTTTTGGAAGTCAAATAGGGCATTAAAATATATACTTACTTGGTTTGAGCTGAAGACTGGGAAAATGAAATAAAATATTGCTAGAAAACTCAGTGTGAGTTCAGCAATATCCTTTCTGTCAATATTAGAAGTTTCTGTTAATAAGATATTTTAAAAAGCAACAAAATATATGTTTCTTACTAGATAAGGTAGGTAATGCTTGTTTTGTTTTGAATGAAGGAAAGCTAACCAGTTATATTTAGCATTTTGTGTCATTTGTTTAAAAAAAATACAGATGCTTACCCTAAAAGTGAAATCATATATACATGGAAAAAAGGACCACTTTACTCAGTAGAAGTCCCAGAGGAATCTTCCAGCCTACTCCAGTATGATTTAATTGGGCAAACGGTCTCTAGTGAGACAATTAAATCTAATACAGGTAAGAATATTTTTGAGATAATGTAACACGACAGCGCCCCTTACCAGCAGGAAGTAGTTTGGAATGAACGACACCCAAATTCCCAAATATTGTGTATAAATGTTTGTTTTCATTTAATTGGACTTTGTTATATATATATAATTAAATAAAATAAATTAATAAAAAGATAATGTAACACAACTCTTGTATATATTTTCAAAATATCTAGTATTTTATTCCACTAACATTAGATATTACAGGCTAAATTTACTATTTTGAATTGTTGTCTTCAAAATTTATTTGCAACTGGGTAAATAGGAATACTCATGTAATCTTGGAATTAATTGTTTTTATAAATACATATAGTGCCACTACAACTCATAAAGTGATATGTTTCTTTAAATCTGGTCAAGTAGCATTTTTATTTATTTTAAACCACATATTTGCTTGTTTTCTTCCAAACTATGCTAATTTAAAAATTTCAAGTTTTATATTCACTGCATTCATTTTTCTGTCAACAGCAACCCTACTAATGAGCATGTCTTCCAACAGGTGAATATGTAATAATGACAGTCTATTTCCACTTACAAAGGAAGATGGGCTACTTCATGATCCAGATATATACTCCGTGTATCATGACAGTCATTCTTTCTCAGGTGTCTTTCTGGATTAATAAGGAGTCGGTCCCAGCAAGAACTGTCTTTGGTATGCCTAACACTTTGTATTCCATCTCCATTCAGTTTCCATTTTCTAATGCTTGTGCTTTTGTGGGGGAATACTGACAACTGTTTCTTGATACAGAAGGATTAGAGTCATATGTCACATAAAATGATTCATCTTTCTGCAGGTTGTGTGGTGAATCAACAAAAAATTTGTCCCTTTAATAATTGTGGCTCTTTCCTATGACTTAAGTGTATCTCTTAGTTATCAGTGCTCAGCATAAAGGAAAAAACCTGACCGTGGGGTAGTAAGGAACACCTTTAATGCCAGCACTCAGAAGACAGAGGATATCTGTGAGTTTGGGTCCAGTTTTGTCTATAGAGTGATTTCCAGGACAGCCAGAACTGTTACACAGAGAAATCCTCACACACACACACACACACACACACACACACACAGAGAGAGAGAGAGAGAGAGAGAGAGAGAGAGAGAGAGAGAGAGAGGAAAAAACAAACAAACAAACAAACAAAAAAACCTGATGTGTACATCCAGGAAGACAACTGGATAATATAGAAAATTCATTCCACTCATCTGAAGTATATCTAACTTTCATTGAGTTGAGTAAAGTTGCCATCTTGAAGATCCTAAAATAGAGAAATATTGACAATTTCCTATAATGTGATTGCTTCTAATTGTGAAGGATAAAATCACTACTTTTTGGAGAAAACTGGAATAATAAAAACAAGATTGGTAACTAAATATTATGAAACCAAAATCAATTTTTCCTGCATTTTTCATTGTTATAACTTTAATAGCCTGTGTGAAAGATCTGAGCTGAACTAGAATCTCAGATTAATACTATATATATATATAGTTTATTACATTAGAATAGATCTACTTTTCAAAATTACCAGAAATAAAAATCTTCATATGGGTAACATCAACATTATACATCTACAAATTACATCAATTTTCTGTCACAACTGAAGCAGAAAAACTTCTGGCAAGAAAGTGACAGAATTCTTTTTCTCATGGGTAAATATTTTACCTTTTAGAAAAATGTTTTGTTTTTTAAATTGAGTAACCTAATTTCTCCTAATTTCATACTAATTTTCTACTCATTTGTGGTGAAAGATGTAGAGAGAGATCAAAGAGGCAAGATTCTAAAAATTTAAATCATAGTAATTTGTTACATATTCTCAGGCAGTAAACAAATAGAACTGTTCATGATTTACATTTTCCTGTAGTTAATTTGGTTCAACAAATGCTTTTATAGAAATTTTATTTTATAAGTCAATGCAGTCAGTTGAGATGATATAGAGATGGTAACACCTGTGATTATGCCTTACACTAACTAAAATCCTTAGAAGGTGGCTGAATGAGTGACTCTCCTTATAAACTTGCCTTTGTTCGTTCTTGTTACAGGATTCCTGATGCTAACTACTGTGTTTCTCCTTTTACATTTCAGGAATCACCACTGTTTTAACCATGACCACCTTAAGCATCAGTGCCAGGCACTCCCTACCAAAAGTGTCCTATGCAACTGCCATGGATTGGTTCATAGCTGTGTGCTTTGCTTTTGTCTTTTCTGCTCTCATTGAGTTCGCAGCTGTCAACTACTTCACCAATCTCCAGTCACAGAGGGCTGAAAGGAAGGCACAGACTGCAGCCCCGCCCCTTGTGGCAATATCAAAAACTGCTGAACCACGGGAAGCTGAGATTATTGTGGTAATTGTTCCCTTTTCTACGTTACTGGGCAGATAGAAAAAGCAATCTCAATCAGTGGCAACATATAAAGCAGTCCGAAAGAGTATTTGTTGAGCATAAATTACATAACTAGTGTTGCTTCCCAGGGTGAAGCTGAAGAAAAGCCTTTATTTATCATTTCTCTAAAGTTTTGCTTTTCTTTCATCATCCTTACTTGTACTGGCAGACTCTAGGCTCTCAAAGGAGACTAGAAAATTCTTTTGAACAGGTTTCCTTAGAGCATCTAGGAAAAAAAAAGTTCTAAAGAAGCTTCCAGAATCTAAAGGAAAAGAAACAACTCCGGTGATTTTTTTGTGAGGAAAGACCAAAGGCTGTTTTTATTTTTTAAGCAGAGGAGATAGTGAATATGGGTTCTCCAAATGAAGATATGACCCATATGTGTACCAATTCAATTAAAAGATAATCACATTTTCATGGGTACATTAAGTACATGTGTGTACTTATTTAAAGGCTTATTATTACTGAGAAATACAAACTTTTTTGCTTTTACATTTTTTTTCTTATTTCACATATCGATTTCAGTTCCCTCTCCCTCCCTCCCTACCTACCTACCTCTCTCCCTCCCTCCCATGCCCCTCCCTTGACCACCCACCCTCTCATCCTATCCTCCCCACTACACTGGTAGGGTGATGCCTTCCAGGAGGGGTCAACAAAATCTGGCAATTCATTTGGAATAGGGACTAGGCCCTCCCTCCTGTCTCTAGGTTAAGGGAGTATCCCTCCATGGGGAATGTACTCCAAAGTCCTTTTGTGCACCAGGGATACATCCTGGTTCCACGGTCAGAGCTTCCTTAGACTGCCCAGGCCTTCTAACTGAGACCCACATTCAGGGGGTCTGAGTCGGTCCAATGCTGGTTTCCCAACTATCAGTCTGGGGCCTGTGGGTTTCTGTAGCCTGGTTTTGCCCTCTCTCTCTCTGCATCTGGATTCCAGTTGGGCTGAGTGTTTAGCTGTGGGTGTCTACTTCTGTTCCCTTCAGCTACTAGATGGGGGCTCTATGATGGCGGATAAGTTAGTCTACAATCTCATTATTAAGGAAGGGCATTTATTGTCGCCTTTCCACTGTTGCTCAAATTGTTATTTGGGGTCAGTCTTGTAGATCTCTGGACATTTCTCTAGAGTCAGTTTTTGCTTCCAAACTGTAATGGCTCCCTCTTTTATGTTATCTTTCTCTCTTATTTCCTTTTTTCTTTTTTATTTTCTTTTCTCTTGTCACAAACTTTTAAAATGTGATATACACTAGCCTTTGTCTCCAAAGTGTTTTGGAATCAGACATGAATGATATAATTCATATTTAAAGGGTCATAAGCATACTCCCAAATTTTATTCTTATTCATGAATACATTCTTATACTCTTTTTAAAAATGGATTATAAAACTGATTGACAAGCATACATTTTTATCTTAATACAAACTTCAGCAAGCAGCCCTTGTCTAAGAAGGAACATTTATTTTGTAGACTTTAGTAATACAACTAATTTGAACCTGCAAGTCATTGTTAATTGTTTAAGTCTACTGGATATTTTCTTATCCAAACCACTGGTAAGTCAGGAACTCTTAGACTGACTACGTTTTGAAAACTACAATGCAATGTATATTTTACTTTCCCAAAGTACAGCATTTATTGGATAAAACAGCTCACAGATTGTATTAACCCTTTTCTCTTGTATAGATTGATGATTTTAGTTTGTATTAAGGAATTGACATTTATTTATCTTGGAGTAATAAGGTCATTGCCACATTTAGTGGAACTAAGTAAAAATATTAATTTCCTAGCATTAATCTACATTGGGAAAAAGAATAAAAGAAAGAAAAGAATGTAGAAAGGGTAAAAAGGAAATGTATTCTATTGATACATTCTAAATTTCCTGCTTTTACAAACAGGAAAATTCTGTCTCAGAGGTCATAGTTGATCAGGGATTTGTAAATAGCGTGGTGTTAGCCAAAAATATGTTCTGCTGGAAAAACAAGAAATGATTCTACAATTTCTGTTGTCTACAACATCATAGGCTAATATCATTCCTTCCCTACCAATGTCTGAAGGAAACAAATGTACTTGGGCATGTACAAACTGAATAAAATGCATTTTAAAATGTAGATGACATCATTCCCCAAAGCCTTCTTTTGACCTACTGATATTTTCTGTATATAAGTATATACAAAGAGAATATATATAACACATATATTAGGAAAGTATTTATAACAAAAACATGCTCTAGGTTTAGTCTGACATACTTGAAAAACATTTTAAAAAGGGTCATTTAAAAGAAGTTATTAAAGTAATAATACATATACTGTGTGGAATTTAAATTTAGTCTTTGTAGATAAGGTAGAACAAAGCTTGGTCCTTTTCCTGAGTCATTCCCTGCCCTGAGTTGCCACCCTGTTAAAGATGTTTTGATTTGTTTTTCCAGAGAGGTTGGTAAAGTCTAAGTTTGAGAAATAGAGCAGAAAAGAAAAATAAGCTCATCTGAAATATGATAAATAAGCAAATAAAAATAATTATGAATATATCCATTGGTTTAATGTTGTGACAAAAGTAAAAAAAACAAAATTCTTTATTTTTGCAATATATAGTACCAGGAGTCAGAGGACATGATTTCAGATCTTTGGAGAAGACTTAGAGATATCAATACCTCAGACCATTATTTTAGAGTTGTAAGTTATTAAAAGGTAGAATGAATATCCCAGGTATCCACAAATAAACTATCATCTATGATGGTAATACAATAATATGATGAGCATGTCATGTAGAAGGATACTTTAAAACGTTTATTTAAATGCCCTCAGAAAAATTTCTGTTGCAAGTTCCATTTGTTATGACAAATTCCATTTTGTCCTGAACCTTGTTTTGCTTAAAATATTTAAAAACAATGAATAGTATATCTTTTTTGTTGTTGTTTCTGAAATGCAAAAGTGTAAAAATTCAAAACAAAACTAACCAAACCAAAAATATAAACCCTAAAGGTATCAAAAATAATACATGTAGGACATTTGCATTTAATTTGTTCAAGGCAAAACTTAGCAAATTGCTTTATAGACTTAAGAAGAAAAAACATAAATTGCACATTGGCTATTTATGTTATACAATGGTATATTATGATTGCAAGGTCAGTTTATTTTTTCCCAAATACCATGACATTTAGAAATGCCTATTCAGTTGTAACCAACACATTATTTAGGGTCCTTGCCATTGAAACTACAGAATACTATTGTGAAGTGGAAGTATATTAATTTGCTAGTTTCCTTATTACTTTAAAGGTGTAAGCCCTCTTTGCTAGGTTCTTGAATGTGAATACTCCCTATACCACAGTTCCCTTTACTAGTACTTTTCCTAATATAACACATGTTCCCTTCAAGACTTGTGGCAGTTTTTGTGAATCTGCATGTAAAATATGCATACAAAATTGACCAAAGTTTCATTAGCAAGGGCAGACAGTAAATATATATATATATATATATATATATGTATATATATATATATACACACACACACATATATACACACATACATATGTATGTATATATGTGTGTATGTATATATATATATATATACATATATATATATATATTGCCTCTTTATGCATTCTTTGCCACCCACTTTTTGAGCGACTATGGTAATTTTTTCATAACTTGAGCATATGTGAAGTTTCTTATACAGAACATGGAGTGTTACCATAGTATCTTTCCATGGACAAAGCTTTCTGTTCAGAAAGAAGAGATCCAAAGGAGAGATGAGTTCATAAGCAATTGTGATAAAAGCTGTAGCTAGATTTACAGAGCAACATGAAAATATCTATGTGAAAGTATTTAGGTCATTTTGAAGGAGTTACTATTTCTACAACAGTTATTTCAAAGACAAAAAGAGAAAGATAAGCTTGGCTTAGATAGATGCCCTAAGCCAGTTTCTAGGAATTTGGGCAGAGAGAGGGATATAAAACCATTCTTTCTGCCTTACTCTTCAAGGTGAAGGCATATACAGGCCCTGAACGTGCTATAGTTGACTATGCACAGAAATGTGAAGAATAGAATGCCAAAAGTTACTTCTCCTGTTCCAAACATGGCTAAACTTTCTTTGAACCACATCATTACTCTATAGAAATAAGGATTGAATTAGGACTATGAGAGACTTGAAAAAGCAGAAAGCCACAGGTGCTTCTTCTCCATGATTGTTCCTTCCTATGAATTATGGGGAGACAGGAATGGATTAGGTAAAATATCATTTATTAGACTTTTTTTTCATATAGTCTATCAAATCCCCATCGTGTTTGACAGTCTGTACTGTCTAAACACCAGTCTAGGTTCCTTAGCTCCACTAATAAAGCAGATGGATTCCAACAAGCCATTTCTCAGAGGACATTCTGGAATCCTTTATAATTTCAACAATACTTGCTCCAACATTTTAGCTGTTTTTGATTTTTAACTTTGTCTTATTTTGGTGCATACATTGACCGGTTCTATAAATAATTGTTTTGTGCATTGAGTAGTGAGATTCAATTAAACTATCTCTGCTAAGAAATATATTTGGGGCCTTGAGAGATAGGTCATTGGTTAGGAGTACAAGCTGCTCTTGCTGAGGACCCAGGTTAAGTTCACGGCACTACCATGGTGGCTCCCAACCATCTGGAATTCCAGTACCAGGTAATTGAGTGTTCTGGGCTTCTCAGTCATCATGTACAGCATGTACAAAGTATACAGATATACATGCAGACAGAACACCCATATAAATAAAATAAACATAAATAACTAAAAATATTATTTAAAGATTATATTTTTGGCCACATTATTTAAAATACTAGGCTAATATAAAATATTTCCTATTAAGGCCTTATTCCTGCATCAAATAACTGGTCATCATATTGTCTATTTTAATTCAAGTTACCTTTACAATATAATGTTACTTAAAACAAAGAGATGGTCTAAAAATACCCTGAGCAGGATGGCACTCAGCAGCAGGGGAGCCCAGGAAAATTTCAAAACCACAGGTGTTCCACTCAAAACCCTGACAGCCCCAAGCTGAGCCCTCATCTGGACTCTGACAAAAGCCTATTTTACCATCAACCTAAGCTTGCCCACAATAGAGCAGGTGGGGCCCAATGCAAACCTGTAGCTTAAAGGGTTTGCAGAATTTGCTTTCCCTTTATTTCAGAAGTGTAAGGTTTTTGTTCTAAATGGGCATTGAATATCTTCTGGCTGCAAATTCGTAACTATCCAAGCGCTGCTTATCCAGTAGACAGCATTAAATACAGAACTCCTGCAGTTCCTTTAGAGTATTACATTGGCTTCTGCTAGAATCCCCATATCACCCCTACCTCCAGCCCTACCCCCTTGTATCCAATCACTGCTGGGCAGGGAAACAAGCAGGATTCTATTCTCCCAGTAGACATTTGGCAATGTAAGCATATTGTTACAAATTGGGGTGAGTGTGTTTTTGGTACCTTATAAAAAGAGGTCTTGACATTGACCAATAATATGGAGGACAGTCTTCATCCAGAAAATACTATCCAACCTAAAATGTTTATACTTTAGAGTCTGCGAAACCCAAAGTAATGCTTGTAGACTGCATGGGATACGACCTGTTAAGGGCGGAATTTCTGGCATCTGAGTTGAACCCAAGCCTCTTCACACATGGGCCTAAGTGAGCTTCCTTATTCCATTTCAATCTTTTCATGTCTAAAATGAGATTAATATGGCATTAAAGATATTTTCAATGAGTAAAATTATTCATGTAAATTTCCTCATAGTACTTTTCAACTCCTGGAAAAATAATAATTCATATATTGATTCAATATAAGTTTTGGAAATATACTGTGTTCAGTGTACTGGATAGACATTCTTTTTGTTGTTGTTTTTTTTTTTTTTTTTTTTTTTTTTTTGAGATAAGGTTTCTCTGTCCAACAGCCTTGGCTGTCCTGGAACTCATTGTATAGGCTGCCCGTGAGCTAACAGAGATCCCTTTGTCTCTGCATCTCATTTGCTGGGATTAAAGGCATGCACAACCTCCACTTGGCTGGCCAGGCACTCTTGCTTGAATATAACATGCCCTATTTAATTAAGATGTCATGATCTTAAAGAAGATATGCATAAATAGGAGTAGTTAATTCTAGAAAAAAAATAAGCTACAGGAGTTCTAAGGAATCAGGAAAAGTGTTTGAAGGTGTCATCGTCATTGGTGATATTGGATGATGCATGAGTTTTCTATCATATTGGCATATTGGCTGGGAACATAATTCCCAGCGGAGAGGAAATTTAGTTTAAAAAAATGCTAAGAATGGGTAGTAGACACATCAGGAAGATAATTGAAAAGACACAACTAAGATTTGCTTATCAAATATTTGTAAGCCACCACAGGATATATTTTATGAAAATTCAAATAAAATAGGAAAATATGCATGAGGTGTAATTATCCCGACATTAAAGATAAGAATTGAGGCTTAGGTAGAGTCAGAGGCCCTGATGTTGATGGCAAATCCAGGCCACAAGTAACTAGTAGATGTAGAGTTGTAACATGGAATTTAGATTCATTTCTCATCTGCTCTGAAATGTTCCACAAAGATAGTTTGGTGCAGAGGTGATAAACTATATCTTTAGTTCTAAGCTAATGTTATTTCACTAGTTATGGATCATATCTATTTTCTCTGGATGAAGGTCACTTGGCAATCTCTGACAATTTGGGGATGACAAGATATTCAGAATGAGCTTTTCTACTCAAAATCACTAAAGATGATGGGAAGAAAAAGAATAACATTTTATAATTTTATGATGTATTATAATTAAGAGTCATGTTTTTAATCTCATTGAATGAGGCAGATCTGACTTCCTCCTGTCTGCACTAGAAAAAAAAAAAAAAAGCAAGTTTTAGGCAGGTAGTATATGGTGTTTAGAGTAAAGATGAATCTGTAAAGAAGTCTCTGATGGTTTCTATCATGATTTTGGGAATTTTACTAGGCTAAAGTATTTTAGTGTTCCGCGTGTATGGAAGCAGGGTGGTTCCTTTGGATCTTTGTCCTTTTTGAGAATAAAACTGTGCCATTTTATGCTTTCAGGTAGATGATAATCTAACAACATTTTTGATGTGTAAAATAAAATTAGCTAATCAAATTAGAGACCGAAGAGCATGGTAGAAAACAGGAAACAGTGCCAATTTTATCCTATAAAATCTAGTGCGTGATTTGTGAAAACCAAAATATTGTCATTCTGGTAAAGTATAATCTAGTGACCATAGGGATTTAGTTCTCATTACTACTTAGTTTTAGTAGATAATGCCACACTTTTCCTGGCCAGAATCAGAAAAGAGTGTCTTTACCTATTTCATATTCTTGTTTCTTTCAAGACCTGTGATTTATTAAATTCTGTAAAAGATGTTAACCATAGTACCAGGCCAGTGGATAAGGGAATCTTCACATGAAATTCACTGTGCTTAGATAAAGTCAGACATTTTTTATTTTTATGCAGAGACAAATTTTCTAAAAATTATAGTGGTCTTCAATTCTTTAACATGACAGATGTTAGAGAGTCAGAAACTTTGGTGGTGCCTCAAATAATGAAGTCCAGGATAAAGTGAAAAATGAAAACAAAACAAAGAGATTCTTTGAGTTGATGTTCTTGCAGCCCAAATGTCACCACACCAGCAGGACACCAGCAGGCCACTGTTATCCTGTAGATTAGCCAACAGAGGAGTAGTGGCTGTCTTATCCTGTGGCTGCAGCATTGCTGGCTTTAGCAACAGGAGTCTATCCGCATGAGGAACATAGCACACCATCCTGCAAAGTAATGATTTTGTTACCAGGGAAGAAACAAGGCCATTTTACAAGATCGAAGGGGAATGTTCAGCAAGTATTTGAAGATAAAGAGACAGTTAGACAACCTAGCCCCAAGGAAAGTGATTGTTATAATATGTAGACAAGAAACAGCAAGAAATGAAAGTAACATGCCTGGTCTCCCAAAGCACGGAAGGATTCTACATCAGACAGAGCCAAAATCTCTGAACTAGACTCAGTAGTGTAGAGCAGAGATTAAAAAAAAAAAAAAGTGTTGCTATGAGACAAGCATTGGATTGGAACTTTATTAGAAATACGACCATAAACAACATAACCCCACTCACTTTCACAATGTTAATTGATACACTTAATATCTCTCTCTTTTTAAATGTGTCTTACGGTTTTAGTAGGGACAGGAACTCAGTGATAGTAAAGAAAACGGGACAGCATTCAGGTTAGTGGATGAACCATGTGGGAGGATTTCAGAGGAAGAGAGACAAGTCCAGGAGAGTTCACTGGGACAGGGAAGGCTTTTTGTGTCACACCTCTAGCTTAAAAGTAGATAGATATATTTCAGAAGATGAACATTCTCCCACTCAATGTAAAGATTTAGCATTTGCCTTTGATATACATTGGTTTTATGGACAGTGGCTAATTCTTAAATTTCATCTAGTTCAAATTCCTAAGTGTGAGAATATGAAGATTTAGGTTAGAACTTTTTAGAAGGCTGTTATTAGTGAACAGAAGTAGGATTTCCTTTTGGTAAGTAATTGTGCACATGTTCTACACTGAATGCACCTACACTGAATGCAGCTACCCACCCACAAACACACAGATACAAACACACACACACAAAGGAGAGAGAGAGAGAGGAGACAATTATGTACAGTCATTGGCTTAGAGGCTTAAAATATAATTCTGTAATTTGTATCAACTTTTCCTAATTGTACAATTCTTTATACATACTTAATGTTTGATATCTTTTGTTGATGTATTCAATTTTAGGATCTCAGATTGAAGCAAACTACTTTTTTTTGAAGTGAGGGTGAAGGTATATGGCTCAGTGGTAGAATGCTTGCCTAGAACCCATGAGATCTTGGGTATAATTCCCAGACAGCTCAAAAAAGAAAAGAAAATTGTAGGCATCTTTAGTTTTTGCTTGAGGGTAGGATGTTTTGCTTCGTGGTAAAGACTCTAGCACTACAAACACATACATAAAGTAAAAGCTTTGTATGTAAGTGTTGTAACTCTTAGAAAAATGACAATAGAACATAGTCTTACACATTTGCTGATGCTTTACCACACATAGATAGTTAACAAAAATGTGTCAACAGCGAAAGTCATGGCTGTCCTAACAAGAGACCTCTGTTATTTTGCTGTGTTGACAATCTTTATCTTTCTTCCTCAGCATTCTGACTCGAAGTACCACCTGAAGAAGAGGATCAGCTCACTGACTTTGCCGATAGTTCCTTCTTCTGAGGCCAGCAAAGTCCTCAGTAGAACACCCATCTTACAAACGCCTGTCACTCCACCACCACTTTTACCAACTGTTGGGGGCACCAGTAAAATAGATCAGTATTCTCGAATTCTCTTCCCAGTAGCATTTGCAGGTTTCAACCTTGTGTACTGGATAGTTTACCTTTCCAAAGACACAATGGAAGTGAGCAGCACTGTTGAATAATTGGCAGACAGGACAACCTGGATGCTGCGGTTCTCATTTTCCTCACTACAGAAACAAATTCCTGAGATTTGTATAAATATTCTCATTTCAGATATGAAATAAAAACTGAGTATCTGTAAATTCCCAATGTGGAATAAGCATGTATGGGCCAAGAATGATGACGTTACTCTTCAAAATTAAAACTAGAAGGCTACTGAAAATATGGCTTTGGCATACAATAAAATAATTAATAATAATTCATGCAAATAAATTAGATTCAGGGTAAGTTTCCCAACATTTATCTTTATCGTTCAATATTTTTTGAGACAAGGTTTCTCTGTAGCTTTAGGACATGTCCTAGAAGTCACTCTGTAGACCAGGTGGGCTTTGAACTCACAAGAGATCCATTTGCTTCTGACTCCTGAGGACAGGGATTAAAGGAGTGTGCCACCACCACCCAGCTTCATTGTTCAATATTTTTAATTGTCACTGTGAATAACATTTTCCACAAGGCAGATGAACTCAGACATGCTAAAGCTTGCCTTAAATTTGTTTATTTTGGCTTTGTTTCTCTTCTGAATATTTATTGGTATATTTACTCAGCATGCTGGAGGCCTTTATGGTTTTACAAGAGCTTTTATTGGCATTGGACAGCTTATATGGAGTTAGACAGTTCTTTTTAACCTTGCTGTGTTCTTTTACCTCAATAAAATGTGTCATTATATGCATATAAATAATACATAGTTTATAAATTATGTATGCATATGTACATAGCTTCAGTTATGCAGCAATACTGTTACTACTTTCCACTGAATTCACCTTTAAAAGAAAATGCTTGCTATAGCACTAGGAGGTTTTAGGAAGGTCACTCTGTGTACTATGACTGTATATTCTGATTAAGGTTACCATTCAAATGTTCCACTTTCCTAAATTTAATGCCGAATAAAACCATAGCAAGCCTGTTTCTCTGGCTCTGATTCATAAAGATGGAGAGACAAGTTTTCTTAGGTACAGAGACATAAACTGGCTTCCTCCTCCCCAGTGTTAGTAACATCAGTTCTAAGACACAGGAGGCATGAGAAAGCCAGGCTCAGTGAGCAGCTGAGAAGCCTTGAGTCATAGCCAAACAATCACGGCTTCCTTTTGCTTCTCCATAATCAACAGTATAATCTATATGGCATTTCTCTTCTCTCTTTCCCTCAATTCTTGATGATCCCTCTGTGTTTCTCTTACATAAAATTACTCTAAGGAAAGAGAAATTAGGAATAAGACAAGGCATGCCAAACAGCTTTTTCAGATGGACTGAATGTCATAACCCATCCTCCCATCAAAAAAATTTGGTTCTAATAATCTTGTCATTTTTTTATGGAAAAAAAAAAACACCAACTACAGATAAACAATTTCAATTTTAATTGAAAATTCTGGCTACCAAAGATGAAAGATGTAAGGTTTCTATCCAATTTATTTAGCATATTATTTCTTAACCAAGTGTATTTAAACTCTTGCAGACTCTATTTTCACTTATAGAATATAATAGCTTAAGTAGATCCTTCTAAAGTAGATCTTTCCATACTCAAAGAAAATATGCCATTTTTTTATATAAACAGAAATGGTTTAAATTAGTCAGGGTTCACTTCTGCTTTAGGGAGTATATTAAGTAACTAAAAGCCAGGTAGGTCTCTTTCATCACCTGAGCTAGACAATATTAAATTTTCTTTTCAGTTATGTCAAGCATATTCTGCTATTTTTCTCTATTTAAAGATGAAGAAACTAAAACACCAAGGAAAGAGTCCCAATTGGTTATCCAATACCAAATGGTCACCTGTGAAGTCATATACATACAAGTAATAGTATATAGACTAAGTGGGTTATATTTACATATTTATGTATATATATATATATATATATATATATATGTTACATATACATGGAACAGTAATTTTAGGAAAACTAGATCCTAAGAATTCTAAAGAGAGTAAGGAAACGTGCATGGGGGAGGGTTAGAAGGAGGAAGAGAAAGGATGCATTTCCTCATTATAATTATAGTTTAATATTAATACATATATATGTATGAAACATAAAACAAAAATCCAAGGCACCTAAAGCATGAAAAAATATTTAAAACCAATTCTCATTACTGTGATACAGCTGGGAATCATACTTAGGCACTGGTATCACATCATTGCTCCTTCACTAACCTTAATCACACTTGTCCCCATCTAATGAAACATGATTCTTCTTCTCTTTTCTCCAGAGCTCCCTCAAATTCTATTGCATTTCCCATAATTGTTCTTTTGGAGTTTGACAGCCTCCATATCATCCCTCATCTTCAATCTGAATCTTAACACAATGAACATTAGTCTCTCTTTGCAGTGCAAGCACAAATAAAAACATGGAAGGCCTAAAGATACATTGTTAATAAAAGGATATTGAAAAAGTAGCTGCAACTAATTATAAAGCTTCTGACTTTCTTGGGATTCTAGAGAACACTATTTCTCAATGTATGCCCTGGGATGGTAATAGAGGCTAACTGAAAAGAAAACAGTTTCCCCAGTCAAATAATTTGAAGAAGAGATGCTGAGTCAATAGTAAAACAGGTTTCTCTTTTGCTAGACTTCCCACAGCCTTTATTGCACTCCTGTGTGCCAAACTGCTAATAGTTTTTTGTGGGAAGATGCCATTTCCTACCTCCTTATGACTGTGAACTTCACTTTGTAAAAGAAAATCTTAGCAATAGAATTCCTAGAAAATAATTTGGGAAACACCACTTTAGGTACTATTTACATGATTCCTTCTATTAGCCCCCAATTAAGCAGACATGTGATTGAGTGTGTGGATGGGGACTCTTGTTCTCATAGCCATTAGAAGCTGTATTATGACGATAAAATAGAAATCAAGCTATGTTCTTCAGCAGAGACGGTATTTTGTGTAAAATTCTGCTAAGTCACTCAGAGATTTTCTTTTTAAGCAGATAACATGAAGGAATACAGAAGTCTGTAGAATCTAGGAAAGAGGCCTCATACATCAGGACTTTGCCATCCAAATAGAGGACACCATCTACGTTGTTACAGAAGCTTAGCCCTCTGTGAAGATATCCACAGTAGCTGGGAACATACCTACTAAGACAACTTGATCCCTTCTTGGTCATGTAGCTCACCCAGATTCCATAGCTGAGGATGTATTGGTTGTTTGAAACTAACAGAATTGGGAGGCATACAATAATGAACAAGACATGGGAACAAACTGCATCTCAAAATGAAAGAAACGCTGAACGACAAAGAAAGTCAACAAAAGGGGACAGGTTCTTTTCTTGTTTTCTTGTCTGTCTCTCCTGTAATCTTCATTGCTAGAATCTATAGAAAATTCCAGTGATGAACAAAAGAAGGAAATTACAGTTTTAGCTCAAGCATCAGAAAGTGGAGAAGGAAAGCTTAGGCATTAAGCCAACAAATACTTGTCTAATGAGTGTTTAGCGTTTTAATACTATTTCATGCATATTTATTCTGATTAACAATAATAAGATGCAATTGAAGAATTCTTCATACAAACAACATACAAACCCATATCAGTTTTAAAAAGAGTATTCACAAAATCTTGAAAGTCACCTGTGTGTGTGTCTGAATGCAGATGCATACATGCCATGGTTTATTCTTAGAGGCCATTCTTAGAGAATAATGGCAAATGCTTGTTTTCACCTTCCCCCTTGAGACTTGAGCAGGGTCTCTTTTGTATTTGCTGTTGTATACATCTGATTATCTGGCCCATAGGCTTCTGGGAATTTTCCTACCTGATCTTTGGAAGCATTGGCATGGCAAGTGTGCATTTTACTACCCAATTTTGTTGGGTTATGAGGATTTGAACCCAGGTCTTTATGCTTACACAGCAAATGCTTTATCTGCTGAACCATCTCCCCCATCCTGAGTCATTTTTTTCTATCTTTATACAACATTCACAGTATATGCTTCTAATATTACTCTTCTAATAAAATGGTAACGTCACCTTGATACTGTTATGAAAGGTCCATATTCAATCCCCAGCAGTATGTATGTGGAATTTTGATTTGTTTACTTGTGTTATTTGATTCAATGTTTACTTATAACAGTTCTGTGAGGTACATTACATTCCTTCACAATGTACAAATAAGGAACTGAGTGAGGTGTAGATAGCTTTCATTTCTAATAATATATCCTATTGAGGAAAAATCCAGAAATTCATTTGATGATTTTTTCCTCTACAAAATATCAAACCACCTCTACATGAAGCTCAGATATCTTTTTGACCATCTCTTAAAACAAAAGCCCCATATACAATGCTATTCTGATCACAGGTCATTGATGCGGAGCTTTGATTCACAGTTCAGTTGCATGCAGCCCAAGTTTCTGCATGGATACTCAAGGGATTTAACATGATTCCCATGCTGTACAATCACATGACCTCAATACTCACTGAGGGCATGCTGACACTAACTCTCGTCCTTCCATCATATACCCATCTTTCATCTATCTATCTACCATCTATCTATCTATCCATCTATCTCTCATTTTCTACATTGGTGTTAAATAAATATGTACAGATATCCTCCACTATTATCTCATTTTCCAAGAAGTTAAAGAAAATAAGATAAGAGATAATAATATATCATAGCAGAGATCCTAAACTAAAAAGACACAGCAAAAATATTTTCATTATTCCTCCTGAGTCAAGTCACAAAACTTTTGGAAAGTCTAAAAATTATTATTCTTAGTTTATAGTATTGTTGTGAAACATATATATACATACACACACACACACACACACACACACACACACAGTTAATTCTGTGTCAGAGATGACATTTATTAGCCAATGACAGATACTTTAAAACTAGTTATGATTTATTTCTTTTTATTTCCCTAGTGTCTAGCACAATATATATTCTTTTACTAATGTTCCATAAATATTTTGTAAATACATGTCAGTTTTCTCTTCAATTTAATTGTGTTAAATAATGACTTAAGTGTATAAAACACCACCTTTGCCTACTTGAGAAATTTTTTA